CCCAAATCCCAAATCCCAAATCCCAAATCCCAAATCCCAATCCCCAAATCCCAAATTCCCAATCCCAATCCCCAATTCCCAATCCCAAATTCCCAAACCCCAAATCCCATATCCCAAACCCCAAACCCCAAATCCCAAATCCAAATCCCAATCCCAAATCCCAAATCCCAATTCCCAAATCCCAAATCCCAAATCCCAAATTCCCAAATCCCAAATCCCAGCCCCAAATCCCAAATCCCAAATCCCAATCCCAAATCCCAAACCCCAAACCCCAAATCCCAAACCCCAAACCCCAAATCCCAAATCCCAAATCCCAAATCCCAAATCCCCAAATCCCAAATCCCAATCCCAAATCCCAATCCCCAAATCCCAAATCCCAAATCCCAAATCCCCAAATTCCCAAATTCCCAATCCCAAATCCCAAATCCCAAATCCCAATCCCAAATCCCAATCCCCAAATCCCAAACCCAAATCCCAATCCCCAAATCCCAAATTCCCAAATCCCAAATTCCCAAATCCCAATCCCCAATCCCAATCCCCAATTCCCAAACCCCAAATCCCAATTCCCAAATCCCAATTCCCAAATCCCAATCCCAATTCCCAAATCCCAAACCCCAAACCCCAAACCCCAAACCCCAAATCCCGAATCCCAAATCCCAATCCCCAAATTCCCAAATTCCCAATCCCAAATTCCCGCTCGGGGCAGAGTCCACCACGACGTCGGAGCTGCGCATCTGCCGCATCAACAAGGAGAGCGGCCCCTGCACGGGCGGCGAGGAGCTCTACCTGCTCTGCGACAAGGTGCAGAAAGGTGCGCCCGCCCGCCCGCACAGCTGGGCACAGCTGGCACACCTGGGCACGGCTGGGGACACACCTGGGATCACACCTGGCACAGCTGGGGACAGCTGGGGACACCTGGGGACAGCTGGGGACACCTGGCACAGCTGGGCACACCTGGCACAGCTGGGGACACCTGGGGACACCTGGGGACAGCTGGGGACACCTGGGATCACACCTGGGGACAGCTGGGGACACCTGGGACACACCTGGGCACACCTGGGGATGGCTGGGATCACACCTGGGGACACCTGAGCACACCTGGGCACGCCTGGGATCACACCTGGGCACACCTGGGGACACCTGAGCACACCTGGGCACAGCTGGGATCACACCTGGGCACACCTGGGCACACCTGGGGACGGCTGGGGACACCTGGCACACCTGGGACACCTGGCACACCTGGGCACAGCTGGGTACACCTGGATACACCTGGGGACACCCGGGACACCTGGGCACGGCTGGGCACACCTGGGCACACCTGGAGGCACCTGATCCCACACCTGATCCCACACCTGATCCCACACCTGATCCCCCATTCCCACATCCCCCATTCCCACATTCCCAGGGAATCCCCGGTGTTTTCCCAAGGACATGGCGGGGATTTTCCCACAGGAGCCGTGGGAGGCACGGGCTGATCTCTCCCTTATCCCACACCTGATCCCCCATTCCCAAATCCCCCATTCCTGAATCCCGCATTCCCAAATCCCAAACCCCGCATTCCCAAATCCCAAACCCCCCATTCCCAAATCCCAAACCCCCCATTCCCAAATCCCAAATCCCCCATTCCCAGGGAATTCCCGCTGTTTTTCCAGAGGACATCGCGGTGGTTTTCTGCCGGGACCCGTGGGAGGCGCGGGCGGATTTCTCCCACACCCCACACCCCACATCCCATATGCCATATCCCATATTCCATATCCCATATCCCAAATCCCCAAATCCCAAATCCCGCATTCCCACATTCCCACATTCCCAAACCCCGCATTCCCACGGAATTCCCGCCGTTTTTTCCAGAGGACAGCGGTGGTTTTCCGCCGGGAGCCGTGGGAGGCGCGGGCGGATTTCTCCCACATCCTACACCCCACATCCCACACCCCACACCCCACATCCCAAATCCCAAACCCCCCATTCCCACATTCCCAAACCCCGCATTCCCACGGAATTCCCACCGTTTTTCCAGAGGACATCGCGGTGGTTTTCCGGCGGGAGCCGTGGGAGGCGCGGGCTGATCTCTCCCTTATCCCACACCTGATCCCGCATTCCCAAATCCCCCATTCCTGAATCCCGCATTCCCAAATCCCCCAAATCCCAAATCCCACATTCCCAAATCCCAAACCCCTCATTCCCACGGAATTCCCGCCGTTTTTCCAGAGGACATCGCGGTGGTTTTCTGCTGGGAGCCGTGGGAGGCGCGGGCGGATTTCTCCCTTATCCCACACCTGATCCCGCATTCCC